TAGCTGAAAACATTTTGTACACCTAATAAGCCAATTAATATTTTACCAGATTTTTTTTGAATCGCCTGTTAACCATGCAAAATAAATGCATATTTCTACATAATAACTAAGAAGCAGGATATTTTCTTTGATATGTAATTACTGCACACTTGATTTTAGCCAAAGGCTGAAAAGTAATACTCTGTTTTTTTCAGATTGTATAAATTGTTCAACTTTTTTTTTATACATAAGAATATATTTCAGTACAAAATTTGTGGAGCAAGTACACAAGCAGTATTGTACAAAAGTCTCTCATATTTAATTTTGTGTCCTAAAAATAAAAATGTCAGTATATGCCACATAACTATGAATTTATGGAAAAGTTGATATATTTTCTGCCAAATATATAGATACATGCTCTAAAGATTCTCTACCAATAGATTAATTAAGTTCAGCTGAATATGAATTTTCATATTCATATTGATTATCTTGAAAAGCAAGATCAAGTTTTTCATCAAATAAATAGACAATTGTAATTGAAGTAGTCCTTGACTACCCAATTGGGCCCAGAATTTTGGTCACTAAGCAATTAAATTATTAAGTGAGTCATCCTGTAACCACACCCAGATTTACAACCATTTTTACCATGGTCATTAAGCAAACCACATGGTCATTAAGTATATGTGGCTTCCCCAATTGACTTTGCTTGCTGGAAACCAGCTGGGAAGGTCATAGATCATGATCATATGATTGCAAGACACTTCAACTATCATGAACGTGAGCCAGTTGCTAAGCACCCCTATTGTGATTGTGTGACTATGGGAGTGGTGCAATTGTCATAATGTGAAAGACAGGTTGTAGATTACTTTTTTAATGGCATTGTAACTTTGAATATAGTTAAATGCTTGTAAAGCAAGGATTACCTGTAGTTTTGTTGTGAACCATTTCAGATCTATTCTTTTAAATATCTGTCACCATTCATTAAAAAATGTATAAATATATTTCAATCTTAATCACATTATCTAATTTTCCTCTGTAATTTTCACATGTTTTGGAGACCAAACATGTAGCTTAAAATTTATTTTGCAGAAATGTCTCTGATTTTTTTATTGCCTAGTACTAGACATATTTATAAGATTTGCTCAGAGCTATAAGTAGACTGTCCATCAATTCAGAGAGGAATTCCTGGATGAGAATTAAAATTTAGAAAGGCATGTTAGCAATGTCTTCAGCTGGAATAGAAAAGTAATAGTATCAAGAAATTGATTGCTTAAAATGCATGTAGATATAAAGAAAGGAGAAATGGCTTAGACAGAAGAACACGAGATAGCATAAAAGCAACTAAGAAGCATATACTGTACATGATATGACTTTTAATGAGGAATTCTTTTGCATTTTTTTTGTCTAGTACAAAAATCTGTGTAGTACAGAAAGAACACAATAGCAGTGATACCGTTTTGTAGGATTTAATGGGGTTGATGCCCAGTCAAAAAAGTAGCTTTTACAAAAGTAGATCATGTCTTTTCTCTGTTGCTTGCCATGTTAGAGCCATTTCATATTCAGCACTATAAATCTTAACCCTGATTGCTCTCAACATTAACATATTGTTTCTTGCAGTGAATTCTTTAGCCTACATATTTCAGAGTTACATTGCAATTCTCTAGACCTCCAGCTCTATTATATCTAAGTAAACAAGGATAGGTACCAGTAGAATCCTTTAAAACTGTTTTCTCTCTAGCTGTGTTCTATTAGTGCTTTTTTATATGCAAGTCCTGTTTGCATTTATTTTACAGAGAAATGAAATAACTAATAAATATAGCCTAAGCAAGATAATTCATTTTAATCTGGTTGTGAATTTTATTAAATTAAGTTTTGAAACCTTTTAGAATGATCCATCCAGATCCAGTTGTGAAATTAGTGAAATTTACAGCTTGTCCCTTAGAATGAACAATTAATAATAAAATGAAAAGAAAGATAACTTTTTAATTATTTTTAATTCTGCATATACAGCATTTTGAAGAGCTTCCACTGAGTCTATTTGTGTGATCCATTGTTCATTACAGGATTTAAGTTAAATTAGTAGTCACAAATTGTTTGCAAAGAAAGAAAAATGCATTTATGCAGGGAATAACGCAGCAGAATTACTAACAGAGTCATTTGGTATTTGGAGTATCAGGAAACACTTAGATAATCTGTGGGTGACTGAGTACAGTATGTCAAGTACATAGCCTTTGTGTGCTGCTTTTCAGTAGCAGAAAAGGTGAATCATCTCATCCTCCTACTTGAAAATGTAGGGACAATGATGAGAACAAGAGGGCACATTGCTGATATTTCTTTATTTCTTCATAATAAACTCTCAAAATAAGCATGTGTCCGATATCAGCCTGCCTATACTCTGTTTTTAACCTCTGTATTTATATAAGGCTAGCTTTACTTAAATATTCTATGTAGGACAAAGAATTACTTGAAAAGCACTACAGATCAAAGTGGGAGTTTTTCCCAGTACACAGCCTTAAAGATGCATTTTGCTAAAAATTATCTTGTAGCAGAGAGTTTCCTACAGGAAACCCCTGCACTAATTTGCAAATGTTCACATTTATTATGCCCGGGGTGGGCATGCGAGGTTTGGCGGGGCCAGCCCCCTTTTCCCGCTGCCCTGAGCTTCTTTACTCCTCTAGCTGAGAGGTGCCATCGGCGGCATTGATTGAGAAAAGGGAGGGAGTGCCCACGATCGAGGAATGGATTCTGAAGATGGCCAGTTTTGCAGAGATGGCGAAGATGTCAGCATTTTTAAAAGACTGTTTACAAGAGACTTATGAACGGGAATGGAAAAAGTGGATAGATTATGTTCAGAACAAATATCAAACTAGGAAGTATCAAATAGCTTTTATTTGAAAATGATATTTTAAGATAGAAATATTTCAATGTAATGAAGATGAAAAAAAATAGGAGGGGGAGGGAGGGGTTCAAGTTTTATATAAGTTTTATACTAAGGGTTTTTTTTTACCTGATATGAGTATATTGTGTGGAAGTCCGGGGGGAGGGGAGGGCTAGGGAGGTTGGGAAGTTTGGGGTGGGTTGAGGGGGGGGGGGAAGGGGGGAAAATGTAATTGTAAAACTTTTGCAATAAAAAAAAAGAGAGAAAAGGGAGGGAGAGAGAGATAAAGAAGAGGAGAAAAAGAGAAATAAGAAAATGATGGAGGGAGAGAATGAGAGAGAAACAAATGAGAGAAAGAAGGGGGAGAGAAAGAAAGAAAGAGAGAGGGAGAGGAAAAAGAAAAGCAAATGAGAAGGAGAAAAAGAGAGAAATGAAAAAAGATGGAGGAGAGAGTGAGAGGGAAAAGAGAGGGAAACAAATGAGAGAGAAGGGAAGAGAAAAGAAGGGAGAGGAAAAAGAGATAAAAACAAATGAGGGGGGGTACGAGAGAAATGAGAAAATGATGGAGTGTTGTGGACTACCAGTGGCCTGCGCGGATTGTGGCTGATCCTGACGACGAGGAGGCTGGTATGGTGTCGCGCCAGCAGCCTGTGCAGCCGGTGCTCGAGTCGGACAGCAAAGAGGCTGAAAAAGATGTGGTGCCAGAGGCAGAGATTCAGCCAGGGCCTTCAGATCCTCCAGAGGCTCCTTCAAGTGAAGAGAGTGAAGTGGAGGAGCCTCTTCTCAATGCACGAGCACGCAGAGCTGCCAAAAGGCAGGAGTGGTTACTCAGGAGGAGGGCTCCTCGAGAGTAAGGCTTGGGGCTAATTGGCCACTCCCTTAGCCTATTTAAGTTTGCACACAGCTAGCAAACGTTGCAGGAAACAACGTGTGTTCGTCCGGTCATTTGTTGAGCATTTGAGAGTGAATTTTCCTTGCAAACCTGGTTTCTGGGCTAATTGCCAACTCTTGTAAGCCTTTATCTAATCTTTGGAATTTCTGGCAGGCTGTTAAGGACATTTTTAGTAATAGCCTGCATTTGAAAAAGACTGTGTTTGTAGTAAATGGAGTTGTTTGGAGTTTTGTGTGTGCTACATTTCTTGAGTTCCGTAGCTGGGGCAGAACATGGAGGGAGAGAAAGAGGAAAAAGAAACACATGAGAGAGGGAGAGAAATGAGAGAGAGGAAAAACAGAGAAAAACAGAAATGAAAGGGGGGGAGGGGAGGGGGGAGAGAGAGACCCATTTCCCACAAAAAACACCGGGAGCCACAAAACCTAAGTAGGCATGGCTTTGGGGTCATGTGACTGGGTGAGAGTGACGTTGAGCCACGCCCATCCAGGTTTTGTGGCTCCTGGTGTTTTCTGTGGGAAACGGGTCCAAATGACTCTGAGTGTTTAAGGTTGCAGACCTCTATAATAGACATACCATGAAAGAAAAGGAGATTAAGCGAACAGTGAACAGGGTCATTCAATACTGTAATATTTGGTTACAAGTACCACTTGTTCCTTTTATATTAGGAATTTTATCTTTTTCCATTCAATTTTTTGTTCCCAGTGAATGCATCACAATGGCCCTACAGTAATAGTACTCCTATCACAGCTTATTGTTGTATCATTAAGAATGTGATGCTGTCAGGAATGTACATGAACCAAGTTCACTCTCTTCATAAACAGATAAGGCCCATGCTAAATTAAAAAGAAAAAAAATCAAAACCACTGGATATAACATTTGTATCAAACTGAATTAAATCTACCCTTATTATAAAAAGCAAATTTGGAACATAAAACAATTAAACCCTACTAAATATACTCCTTTTAAATAGCAAATTAGATTGCAGTAGGATTTGGTCACAGTCCAAAGAGACTTCTATGCAGACTTGAGAGCCATTGGGGTTTTTTTCCCCCTCTACCAAGCTTCCTTTATATATTGAAAAAGCTTTCAATAAATTCAACAAATTCTTCATTTTTTCATTGTGCATAAGTCAGGCATAAAACCTCAAAATTCCTCACAGTGTTATCAGCTGAAATTTCTAGTTTGAGTCAGTGAGTAAAAACAATTCATTCTTGCATTTGTTTGTTTGTTTGTTTGTGTAAATTGTTTTAGCTATGACAGTGAAGGCAGATTGACCAATGTCACATTTCCAACTGGAGTGGTCACTAATCTACATGGAGAAATGGAAAGGGCTATTACTGTAGACATTGAATCATCTAGCAGAGAGGATGATGTCAGCATCACTTCAAATCTATCCTCAATTGATTCTTTCTATACAATGGTCCAAGGTACGTTAACAAATTAAATGAAGCAATAATCTTCAAGAGAAAAAAAATGAATTAAAAGAAAAAACACTGTTATATTTATTACAAGTTGTGATGAGAACTAACCTGAAAGGGAGGTTAGCTAGGGTTTTGTATAGGGTTAAAGCTTTAATCTTCTATAATACACATACCTATTTAGAAGAAAATTCAACTGAATAAAGTCATTAACTTTATGATTGTGTCTCTAATTTTTATGATTACACTTTCACTAGTTGTGGATGCAATTTGCAAGTAAAAGTTTTAAAAATATTTAGTTACATTGATTAAAACCTTTTATATACATTCTATTTCTAAAATTATTCTAAAAGGCATGTAGATGTAAAAATAATGCTTCTTATGGCATGTATTTGTTATACATTGAAATATGCACCAAGAAGTCAGATAATGCTGAAAGGTCATAATCAAAAAATTAAAATTAAAAGTTTAATGTTTAATAGTTTAAATGGTTTAAAATTAAAACGCTTGTATTTTTAATGCAACTGAATGTTGCATTAATATTGACTTGGTTTGTGTTATGAATAATTTTGTATGAAAAATCTTGGTTTAGAAATACATCTTTGCTGGGTTTCATTTCAGATCAATTAAGAAATAGCTACCAGATTGGATATGATGGGTCTCTCAGAATCATCTATGCCAGTGGTCTGGATACACACTACCAAACAGAACCACATGTTTTAGCAGGTACAGCCAATCCAACTGTAGCAAAAAGAAATATGACTCTTCCTGGAGAAAACGGACAGAATTTAGTGGAGTGGAGATTTCGAAAAGAACAAGCACAAGGCAAAGTGAATGTGTTTGGCCGTAAGCTCAGAGTAAGTTACATCTCTAATGCATTTTTAGTTTAAGATGAATAGTATAGAAGACCTACTGACAGCTTTCACTGCTTCAAATGAACTTTTTTTTCTTTTAGCAAGTCTTCTAAGACCAATAAGATAAAAAGGAAAAGGAATAATCCTTGCTAATATAATTTCAAGTTAGCAATGCCTCAGAAAGGAATATCTTAATTCATATTGTTCTATGTATTTCCAGACTTACAACCCTCAGTTTTTACCATTAGCATCACACACTAAATATGAAATCCTTCCTATGCAACCCTATATTTTCTGCAGATACATAGAATGTTCATTTTAGATGAGACCCATTAACAGTGTTTTAGGTTAATCTTAAACATTAAGCTATAGTCATCAACTGTATAACTCCTTACTTTAAAAAAAGGAAGTTTATAACCCTAGGTGTGTTTCATTTCACTGAATGTATGAAATCTGGGATCTCCCTGTAGTATGTTGGTTTGTGAGTTAGTGTCCAGGTTAGAGATCCTAGCTTTCATACCAAAGGACTTCAAGCATGCTTGGGAAATAATTGGGCTTTATCTGTGTTTGTAGTGTACTATCTGAATTCTTCAGTACTCAAAAATTGACCTGTAGTGTCCCTAGTTTTAGCAGGAACTCTTACATATGGAAAGATGTTAGTAAGACTGGTAACCTAATCAGCCCTGTCTCAATCTCTTCTGAATATTCTATGGAAAAGCCTCAATTTACCAACACCATGATAGGCAACAGAGGTCAGTATCCATGAGTCCATCTAGTCATAGCCATGGCATATGGAAGATTGCAAACCGGAACCTAAAAGCATAAATGGCAAAGGCATGAATTAACAAGAATGATGTTATATATGCCTGTGAAATTAAGAGTGGAATGGTGTTGATAAGTACAAGTAGGGAGGTTTTAATTAATAAAAAGGCTTAAATGAATACTAGAAAGTATGCATTTATGTCATGTTAGTTGTTGAGGTTGCTGAAAGTAAAATTTGTAGGTTGGTGATAATTACATATTATTTTCCAGCGAATGACAATAAGAGAGAAGGTTTGGAAAAATTGTGCAATATATTGAATGAATGCAATCCAGGGCGAAAATATTCTGTTAGATGATGATGACATGAATAGATGGTAAGAAAAAGGCAATAGAACATAGAAAAAATGTTACTGCCATTTGGACATCAAAGAATGAAAGATTCTGGTCAACATACATTTACAAAAAGGTCGGTTTTCAACATGTCATTGAAGCAGAATGCACAGGGGAAGTAAATGATTCGAAAAACATAACTGATATAATTGTTTATTATTACAAACTGAGACATTAGCGAAGGATATAGGGGAGATAAGAAGTTATGAATGTGGGGCAAGCCATTATTTGAAAACATCAAAAGTGAATCAAGAAAAAAATATGCATGGAAGAAAGGAAGTAAATGTATGAGAGTAAGTATATGACTACAGGAACTAAATGTATGAGTTGTATCTGAATAGCTGGCAGAATATAAATTAATCTCTCAAAAGAATGAATGGAAGTGAAACATATGGAAAGAAGATTTGCAAGTTGCCCAGAATTAAGTGAGAATTACACTCACTGGGTGGAAGTGACAATAGTACCACAGAATGTGGGGGTTACTCTAATGAAGAATATGCCAAGGGCTTTTAAGAGAAAGGTCTCTGCAAATAGTGCTGCTGAGAGAATGTTAATGTGTACACATAGCAAAAAATAGTTGCAAATAGAATGTTGTCTTTATGTGGCATTGTGTGAGTAAGGGTAAAAGCATCATCTCTTCTACCTTTATAGTTTGAGCAAGGATTTGAATTACAGTAACATTGATTGGCTTGGACCTTGGTGAAAGTTTGCTAAAATGGGAAAGGAATAGTAACATTTTAAGTGATACAAGCGCTGATAGAAAGAAAAATAGATAGTATGTATTCTTTTGTATGTAATGAATGTGCATATAATATGAAATAAATTTAATTGTGTATAAGAACCGGCTTCTAGCTATTTTGATATGTGGAAACTGAAATTTGGATAGGTCAGGAACATAAAAATAAGTTGAATGCAGTAGGAATGGGGTATTCAAATAAATGTATGGTAAAACAAAAGGTGGTAGGGTAAAGAATTAATGAGTGTCAAAAGAATGTGAATACAGATGTCAGTGACTAGCACAAAGTGAAGGTTGATAAGATGGTTTCATTAGAAGGGGAAAGTGAAAGAGGGTCCAATTATAGAAAATACATCTGAAGAAGAATGAATGGGTCAAGAGCAACTGGAAGGCTGAGAAAATTGTAGTTGGATGGAGTGAATAAGGTCCTGAAAAAAGAGACAAGTTGTGAGTGTAAAGAATCAGTGCACAAATGTGCTAAAAGCAAGAATGATTTGCAAGAATAAAAGGTATATGGAGAGCTATAGTGAATAATTTGATGTAAACTAGATTTAGATATACTTCTTTTTACCTTTTGCATTTTTCTTATCTTATACCTATGATTTACTGTTTCTTACTGCTTTTCTGTATTTTCCAGAAAAGCATGCATTTATACAATGCACATGTACTTTGAAAGCTTTCAAAAACATTTCTTATCAAAACAGGATGATGAAAAGAAATGTTGCAAACAATTCTTATTGACCCTCACTTTTGAATACTTCAATCAAATTATAGTTGCCTAGAGGATTATTGTAAAAGATTTTGAACAGCGGGATCCCAACTTGGAATAGATTTTTCTGTCTGTATTCAGATAATTAAAGACTAGAAATTCACCGTCCTTGTTAAAATGCTTTCCTTTTAAAAACTTCTGGAATATGATCAGAAAACTTTGGACCTTTTGTTTCTATTGCCCAACAAAAATTCTTTGTATCTCTAGACTATCTAACAAAATAAATATTTTATTTTGTTTACAGATCTTACCATCTTTCTCCTGATAGGTTCCAGAACTAATGATATTTATTTATTTTATTTTAATTTAATTTAATTTGTATACCGCCCTTCTCCCAAAAGGGACTCAGGGCGGTGAACAGCCAAAATTAAAATACATACAATACAAAAGTTAAGATAATTAAAAGAGATTAAATCAATCGGCCTCCCAACTTAAGACCCCAAGTCTATAAAATTTAAAAATCCCATTAAAAACCATTTAGGCTAGGCCGGCTTGCTGGAATAAATAAGTCTTCGGGGCCTTACGGAAGGTACGGAGGTCCAGGATCAGTCGTATTCCAGGAGGTAACTCATTCGACTGGAGACCTAACGGCCGCCTGGGATAGGGCGGCCGCTGGGGCCCTGGATCGAGTCGTGCCTTTGCGGCCTCTGACCCGGCGCGGATCTCGCCTGGCTCCTTGGTTCACCGAGGAGCTGAGGGAGATGAAGCGCCGGAAAAGACGCCTAGAGAGTAGTTGGAGAGCTAGTCTTTCTGAATCGGACCGGACACTGGTTAGATCCCATATTAGGACTTACCTAGTGGCGATAAAAGCAGCAAAATGTATGCATTTCGCTGCTCTTATTGCGTCATCAGATAATCGCCCGGCCGCCCTGTTTAGGGTGACCCGCTCCCTGCTCCACCAGGAAGCGCAGGAGGACCCCTTGGAGGGAAGAGCCGAGGACTTTGTTCAGTATCTGTATGACAAAATCACTCAGATTCGGGAAGGTCTGGACTCTGACTGGGTAGATCCAGCGAGAGTGACGGAGGCAGGTCTTGAGACTGTTATCTGGGATGAGTTTGATCCTGTGACCCCAGATGACGTGGACAGGATTCTGGGTAGATTGAACGCGACCACATGTTTGTTGGACCCGTGTCCCTCCTGGTTAGTGCTGGCTTCCCGGGAGGTGACGCGAGGCTGGCTCCAGGGGATTATAAATGCTTCATTGGGTGAGGGTGTCTTCCCCGCCGCCCTTAAGGAGGCGGTGGTGAGGCCCCTCCTCAAGAAGCCTTCCCTGGACCCGGCAATATTGGCTAATTATCGTCCAGTCTCCAACCTTCGTTTTGTGGCGAAGGTTGTTGAGAGTGTGGTTGCGGGACAGCTTCCCCAGTACCTGGATGAAGCGTCGTATCTGGATCCGTTCCAGTCGGGTTTCAGGCCTGGATACAGCACGGAAACGGCATTGGTCGCGTTGGTCGATGATCTCTGGAGGGCTCGGGACAGGGGCTGCTCCTCTGTCCTGGTCCTGTTAGATCTCTCAGCGGCTTTTGATACCATCGACCATGGTATCATGCTGCACCGGTTGGAAGAGTTGGGGGTGGGAGGCACCGTACTAAGGTGGTTCTCCTCCTTTCTCTCCGACCGGTCGCAGTCTGTGTTGACAGGGGGGCAGAGGTCGACCCCGAGGCCCCTCATATGTGGGGTGCCGCAGGGATCGATCCTCTCGCCCCTTTTGTTCAACATTTATGTAAAGCCGCTGGGCGAGATCATCCGTGGTTTTGGGGTGAAGCACCATCAGTACGCGGATGACACCCAGCTGTACATCTCCACCCCGGACCACCCCAACGATGCCCTTGAAGTGATGTCCCAGTGCCTGGAGGCCGTACGGATCTGGATGGGGAGGAACAGGCTCAGGCTCAACCCATCCAAGACCGAGTGGCTGTGGTTTCCGACGTCCCGATATAGTCAGCTAATGCCATCGCTGACTATTGGGGGCGAATCATTGGCCCCCACGGATAGGGCTCGCAACTTGGGTGTCCTCCTGGATTCACGGCTGTCGTTAGAAGAGCATGTGACAGCCGTGTCCGGGAGGATTTTTCATCAGGTTCGCCTGATTCGCCAGTTGCGTCCCTATCTAGATCGGGACTCCCTACACACAGTCACTCATGCCCTCGTTACTTCTCGTCTGGATTACTGCAACGCTCTCTACATGGGGCTCCCCTTGAGGTGCACTCGGAGGCTCCAACTGGCGCAGAGTGCGGCCGCGCGGGTAGTGATGGGAGCGACATGGAGTTCCCATGTGACACCTCTCCTGCGCGAGCTGCACTGGCTCCCGGTGGTCTTCCGAGTGCGCTTCAAGGTTCTGGTTATCACCTTCAAAGCGCTCCATGGCTTAGGACCTGGTTATTTACGGGACTGCCTGCTACCACCAATAGCCTCCCACCGGCCAGTACGCTCCCATAGAGAGGGGCTCCTCCGGGTGCCGTCGGCCAAACAATGTCGGCTGTCGGCCCCTAGGGGGAGAGCCTTCTCTGTGGGGGCACCTACGATTTGGAACGAGCTCCCCCCGGAGATACGTAGGATCCCGGATCTGCGCACCTTCCGCCGTGCGCTTAAGACCTTTCTATTTTATCAAGCTGGCCTGGCCTAAATCTTCCCCCTTTTTAAATGTGGAAATTTTAAATTTTTAAATTTTAAATTCGTCTTTTTATAGGGGTATGGGTAAGGCATTTTAAATTGGGGAGCCATTTTATATTTAATTCTGTTTTAAACGTATTTTTAATTGTTTGTATTGTATGTTTTTAACTTTGGCTGTTCACCGCCCCGAGTCCTTCGGGAGAGGGGGCGGTATAAAAATGTAATAAATAAATAAATAAAATAAATAAAAAATAAATTCCACAGGGCGGGTGCCCCCACAGAGAAGGCTCTCCCCCTGTGGGCCACCAGCCGACATTGCTTGACCGACGGCACCCTGAGGAGGCCCTCTCTGTGAGAGCATATTGGCCGGTGGGAGGTTATTGGTAGCAGCAGGCGGTCTCGTAAGTACCCTGGCCCTTAGCCATGGAGCGCTTTAAAGATGAGAACCAACACCTTAAAGCGCACCCAGAAGACCACCGGGAGCCAGTGCAGCTCACGCAGGAGAGGTGTTACATGGGAGTGCCACGTCACTCCCATAATCACCCGCGCAGCCACATTCTGGACCAGTTGGAGCCTCAAGGGGAGCCCCATATTGAATCATTAATCAATTTTTCAATAGAATTCTGTTTTCTAAGTACAGCTGATATAGGATTTTGACATAGTAAAACCTGACACTAAAATGAAAAATAGAACTACAAACTTAAAACAGACAGTAAAATTATGAAAAGAATGGAATATGGAATATAACAGAATTGAAATTAAAATGCAACTCATCATTGTTCTATCTATATTTTTTTGTACAACTGAAAAGCATTACTTTTCATTGCCCCTTGTTTCAGTGGATTGCAGACATTATCCAACTTCCTGGTCCTAATGATATTTATTTGTAAATGTCTTCTGCTGTAGAATTTATCAATATTTAATAAGTGAGGGTTTTTTTTAAAAAAAATGTAGCATTTGGCTAGATTATTCTACAGTCCTTGGCTATTAGGTCAAAATATCAAAATTTGTTTTTATTTATGAAAGTCTGAATAATGTATTATCTGTTTTAAGAATATTACTTTTCTCAAAGTTTAAATATTTCTTTCTGGCTTCAAACAATGTAGCTCAGATGATCCATTAGTCAGAGAAATTCTTTCTGAAAATTCTTCATATTATATTATATGTATAATATAATATGTCAACATTCCATAAAACCCCCAACTCCCAGTAAAGATGCGGAAGCAGGCATTTTCCAAAGTTCCTTATAATATACCTTATAAAATTAGAAAGTAAATGAACATTCAAATTTTCTTGCCTATAAAATAAGCTAATTTTATTATTGTGAACGACCTGCCAGTGTCTATTTTTGATGACCTATTTGAAAAGCAGTTCTTATATTTCACCAACATATTTGCTGGCCTTTTATTTTTATTTTTCATTATTATAGTGATAATTCTGCTATATCTTCATAATTTCCTCTGTAAATCTTGTTAAGTATTATAAAAGTTCTCAATGTATATATTGTTGAATTATATTAACATTTAACTAAATTCTATCAGCATTAATTGAAAACATTTTGAATAAAATGTCAGTGCATCTTTATTTAATGAAACCTTTTAAAATGGCAACCTAATCCCTGGCTATTATACTAAGAAGCTGCTAAATTAGTTTACTGACAAAGAAAATCAATCATGGTAAATGATCTTTAAACAATGGTATTCAAACAGTGGCTGATTCTATAAAGAAATAATAAGCAGCTCAATGCCCCTCCCCCCACATTATTTATTTTGTTGTCTTGTTTGTTTCATAAAAGGTTAATGGTAGGAACCTCCTTTCAGTTGACTTTGATCGGACTTCAAAGACAGAGAAGATTTATGATGATCACCGTAAATTTCTACTGAGAATCGCCTATGATACTTCAGGCCATCCAACTCTCTGGTTCCCAAGCAGCAAGCTTATGGCTGTCAATGTTACCTATTCATCTACAGGTCAAATTGGTAGCATCCAACGAGGCACTACTAGTGAAAAAGTCGATTATGATGGACAGGGAAGGATTGTATCTAGAGTATTTGCTGATGGTAAAACATGGAGTTACACATATCTTGAAAAGGTACTCAACTATTAGATGGAGTGTTGGTTTGCAGTTCTATTAAACAATCATTTCTGCATAAAACGTTAAAAATGATTGCTGCATGATATTTGCAGTTTTAGACAGAGAAGGGATATCCGTGTGTGTGTGCACGCAATTTCCTCCAAGCTCTTGCAGTAACACATATGATTTTTATAGTTCATTCCCCTGCAAAGTCATTACTCGGCTGAACATTACTGTTCAACCGAGTAATGAACAGTAATTATTGATCCTACTCATCCAGTAAACTTTCTAACTTTGTGGTCATTTGAACCCTGATCTCTTCGACCCTAGCCCACATCTTCACTGTTGCACTGTGTTTAAGGAAAATCCATCCTAGAAAACTGATTGAGATATATAGTATGTAAGATAAATTTGATTTCCTGGAATTTACTAGCTTGTTGCCTGTGGATACAATTTCATGGAATTTAATTATGTCTTTGAAATCATGGGGAATGATTATACATTTCTAGGATTTCAATGAGATTGAAGCATATTTAGGTGGCAAGCAGAGTCAATTTATTTGGAGATACTCTTTATAAGCAGTCATGTTAACCTAACACTTTTCTAAATGATTGTTTATTTAATATTATATTTTTTTTCAAATGAAGTTACCCTTAAGAATGTCTGTTAACACAAATAAAAACAGCTGTAGCTTTTCCAGGCTAAATCTGAATCTAAAAACCTTTTCCAAACATTTTTTTTATTTTGTACCAAGAAAGAACAGTATCAAGTCAAACTTATGAAAGAGTTCTAAACTGCAGCATAAATGTAATGATTTAAACAATGATTTTTCTTTGTGTATATGTGCTTCTCTCTTTGTCTCTTATACATACATACACATATACACAAACACTAATGTGTTTTCCTCACATTTGTCCAGAAAAGTCCAAAATGAAATATGGTATTAAACCAGTGCTGCATACCAATAGCATAGCATAACAAAGCATAAGAAGTCTTTTATCATTATTTAATTTGATGTCCTTTAGTGGGACAGAGTAGAATTTGCCTTAGGTGGAAACAGCTACCGACAGTGACAGATGCTGAGAGTTTTATACATCTTCATGTGAGTAATATAAAATAACAGTGGTAGTGATGTGTAATGCCAAAGCTTTACAAAAGGAATCATTTGGTGACTAATTAACTCTGCAAAATTTGATGTAAATAACAAGCCAATTGCTTCACCCATCTGACAAATAGATATAAAAGAGGAGGTTCAGGGATCTTCAGGCTAGTAAAATTCTCAGTAAATTATCTCTAATTACAGGAGTAAAATTGTCTCCTCCATATGTTGTTCCCTTCTTGAGTTGCTGGCTTAAGACAGCCTCACTTTTGTTGGTATTAAACATGACTTATCCCAGTCCATTGACAATCTGCTGTTTGGCACTGAGTACTTGATAAAAGGATGACTCAGTCACAACAAGAACACATTAGGAATCTGGAGTGACTCATTATAGATCCTCTTACAATTAAGTATCCAAATGAATTAGGCAATTACCAATATGTAAGGTCAAGAATTACTCAATTTGAATAATGATGGTTTAGTAAAAAAAAACAACACAGTGTTGCTAGTCTATCAATAGTTTTGGCACTTGATTAAACTCTGTTTTCTTTTACAGTCAATGGTTCTCTTACTGCATAGCCAACGGCAGTATATCTTTGAATATGACTTACTGGATCGGCTTTCTGCAATAACCATGCCCAGTGTAGCTCGCCATACTATGCAGACTATCCGTTCTATTGGCTACTATCGGAACATCTATAATCCTCCAGAAAGCAATGCCTCTGTCATCATGGACTACAATGAAGAAGGACAGTTGTTACAAACTGCTTTCTTGGGCACAAGCCGGAGAGTCTTGTTCAAATATCGAAGGCAGACCAGGCTTTCTGAAATTCTATATGATAGCACAAGAGTGAGTTTTACTTACGATGAGACAGCAGGAGTTCTGAAAACAGTAAACCTCCAGAGTGATGGCTTTATTTGCACCATTAGATACAGGCAAATTGGTCCATTGATTGACAGGCAGATTTTCCGCTTTAGTGAAGATGGAATGGTAAATGCCCGATTTGACTACAGCTATGACAATAGCTTCAGAGTGACTAGCATGCAAGGTGTTATCAATGAAACTCCATTGCCTATTGATCTCTACCAGTTTGATGACATATCTGGAAAAGTTGAGCAGTTTGGAAAATTTGGGGTTATTTATTATGATATTAATCAGATAATTTCAACAGCTGTAATGACTTACACAAAACACTTTGATGCTCATGGTCGCATAAAGGAAATTCAGTACGAAATATTCCGTTCACTTATGTACTGGATTACAATTCAGTATGACAACATGGGCCGAGTAACTAAAAGAGAAATTAAAATAGGCCCATTTGCTAACACTACCAAGTATGGTTATGAATATGATGTTGATGGCCAGCTACAGACAGTTTACCTTAATGAGAAAATAATGTGGCGCTACAACTACGATTTGAATGGCAATCTCCACTTGTTGAATCCAAGTAATAGTGCTCGATTGACACCACTGCGATATGATCTAAGGGACAGAATCACTCGACTTGGTGATGTTCAATACCGGTTAGATGAAGATGGATTCCTGCGACAGAGGGGCACTGAGATATTTGAATACAGTTCAAAGGGCCTCCTTACCAGAGTTTATAGCAAAGGCAGTGGATGGACAGTGATATATCGTTACGATGGACTTGGAAGACGTGTTTCCAGTAAAACCAGCCTGGGACAGCATCTTCAATTTTTTTATGCAGATCTCACATATCCAACAAGAATAACTCATGTGTATAATCACTCAAGCTCTGAAATCACCTCTCTCTATTATGACTTGCAAGGACATTTATTTGCCATGGAGATTAGCAGTGGAGATGAGTTTTACATCGCCTCAGACAACACTGGAACCCCGCTGGCTGTTTTCAGTAGTAATGGTCTAATGCTGAAGCAGATTCAATATACTGCCTACGGCGAAATCTATTTTGATTCTAACCTTGATTTCCAGTTGGTGATAGGATTCCATGGAGGTCTTTATGACCCACTAACCAAACTAATTCATTTTGGTCAAAGAGATTATGACATACTGGCAGGCCGTTGGACTACACCTGATATTGAAATTTGGAAAAAAATAGGGAAAGATCCAGCTCCTTTTAACCTGTACATGTTTAGAAATAACAATCCAGCCAGCCGAATACATGATGTGAAAGATTATATCACAGGTAAATATTTACATTTAATAAAGTACAATTTTCTATTGTTTTTATTAAATTACATTACACATGTATATCACCTTGGAATTACAGCATCTGATATATAAAAGTATAGGAATATACTTTGTTAAGGTAAAAATGTATATGTATTCTACCTTGCTTCATATAAATGAGAAGTATACATAGTTGGGTAAAATAGTAAATAAGTATATCATTTTTCTTAATTAGATCTATTTGAGATCTTGTGTCTATAGAAAGTAGTCAGGATGGTGTCTTTTTTCCCCCAGCCAATGATAGATGTAGTGACTTAATAGACAATAAGACTTATCAAAAAATCCTCATAATAGGCCTTGTTCCCTGTCTCTATAGAATATTTTATCTCTTAGAGGATTCAAAAGAAAATGGGGTTTTGATGTTTCCATTTGACTGAATGGTTACTATGGCAACAGTTTATAAGTCTGCAAATTTATTGTATATTATGAGTGCTATTTTGCCAGATGGCCAATATATCTAGGAAACATACTAGGATTTTTTGCTTGCATGGTAACACCTTAGATCTTTAAAGGGAAAGTTTTCCGAGCAGTCATGTGTCAGTGGGAAAAATAATGTGCAAAACATTCCTTCTTGCTATTTATGGTTGTAGGTTTATCTGTAGTTTAAATAGTAATGCTTTTTGATTTACGTAGCTCTGTTATGTTTTCAAGTACTTCATAGAAAGGCCTTAAACTAAGAAACTGGTATTTTAATGTTTAAGCATTTTTGTATCCAAAAACTTAATTCACAATATACTTTTGTTGATAAATATATATATTTGGACACCATTGTAGTCTTTTGTAATTTCTTTTCTTTCAAAGAAATGGATACAAGTTCATTGTAAATCACTTGAAATATTAATGCCAGCTGCTCTCAGTATCTAAGAACTATGCTTCCCTTTTTCACAATGAATTATTTGCATAATTTATTTACCTAATTATAACGCACTTATATGATCCTACCATGTACTAGAGAGAATCATGTTATCTGTATATTCCTGCTTAATATATCTACATTGCAGTAACATTAGGGATAAGTTGCAGTTGCACTGTGGAATTACATAATTGGAACATAAGACCAAATATATTCCAAATTAGGATCTTTAAGATCTTATTAATTCACTAAAGAGGCTTTTTTTCTAAAAGATGTCCAAATACTTTTTTTTTTTGCAATAGTCGTGATCATATATTCATAGCAGTATTCTTCCTCTACTGTTTCTTCTGTTCCTCGCTGTCTTGCAATAGTTGAATTCATGGGATGTGAGGATCTAGTGCTTTCCCTATGTTTATTAAGTAGATAACTTTATCTGCATAAAGAAATTATGTGGATCACATGGAATCATCTATAATAGATCATAGATTATTGCTTCAGATTATTCTGGATTGTATAAATAGTGCATTTAAAAACTAGCTTCACTGCGTTCCTTTCCCTGGGTCATTGGTTGTATATAAATGAGAACAACTTTTAAACAAATAAACTACATCCCTGCCATGGATTTTCTCTTCCAAATATATTTTAAAGCACAGAGCATTACCCAGCTCACCGACATTCATTCAAATTATGCTGTGCTAAATTCAGGCACATATTGAGGGACACGTGACGTTTTTCTAACTTACTTTATAATTGCTTTCTAGATGTTAACAGCTGGCTGGTGACATTTGGTTTTCATCTACACAATGCGATCCCAGGTTTCCCTGTGCCTAAATTTGATTTAACTGAACCCTCCTATGAACTTGTGAAGAGCCAGCAATGGGATGATGTACCGGTAAGAAAAAAAATAAGGAACATTAAACTGCAACAAAATATAATAAAAGATTCTATTAGAGTATTGAAAAATCCTCAGAGGCATACATTGACTATTTAAAAATTAAAACACTGTAGAGATGTTTCTTGATACACTTTTGTCCCAAACTATATAACAGATGTTAATTCTGTAGGGAATTTTTTGTCCAATAACTAAAGACTAGGCTTATATTTTAACATTTCCTAAACTGAAGTGAGAGGGAGGAAATGATTAATCAATAAATAATAGTATTTTAAAATCCTTTTTTTTTTCTTCAAATTATAACATTCCCAGTGGATGCTATAGAGATTGGATTGATAGCAGCACCCTGCCTCCAGGCTAAAAGGGAACAATGTAATAAAAAATAGAATGTGAAAGAAACAGAATAACAGGTGATATAAATTATGCATATTGTACAGCAGTACAATTTTACTTGTCTTTAATATTAACCGTGTTTTATATGTGAAGATAAAATATTGAATATAAAATCACCCCAGGTAAAATGTATTACATTATATGGAGCCCAAACTCAAACTCCTTGTTTTAAAAAATATATTGCCAAACAGAAGTATAAAACTAAATCATTTACAAAAATCTATGAAATGTAAAATAGAAAGTTCATATGTACCATTTAAGAAAAATAGCAATTATAAATTTTATTCAGAAATCAAAAATCCATTTACCCTCAAATTCTCAGTACCAGAAATAAATGACAAACATTAAATAGCTGTTAACCTTTCAGGTGTATTCCGAAGGATCTCTGTGACTTTCCAGGCTATTAAAATAGTCAAAATAATTTCATGTTATATAAATCCAGAAACATTGTGTTGATGCTTTTACAGAAGAAATGTAAAATAAGTGATATGAAGGATTCACCCAGGGCCTTTTCCCAAAATGGATATTAAACCTTGGGATAAGTTATCTGGTGCAATTGCTGCTGTCAATATTTATTTAATACATTTGAAGTTCTAATGTAAAAATGTAGAGAAAACTGCAACTTGCTCCTATTATCTTTCTTACTCATAGCTCATTTCTTAATTTTGCGAGTTCTCTCAGATCTTGTTCAAGATCTTGGCCAAACTTATTTAATTATTTTAAATCTATTTTAACTTTTGTATACAAATGTTTTACTTCGGCTGTTCACCGCCCTGAGTCCGAAAGGAGAAGGGCGGTATAGAAATTTGATAAAATAAATAAAATAAATAAATAAATAAAGATCAAATATAGGCAAAATGTGACAATGAGATCATTGAGGCCTTTTATTGATGGGGCCACGCCCCTCAGTGATCCAAGATGCCTGTTTCCCTGTTGAAGAATGTAAAGGGACACAGTGCACAGTGTCGAGAGAATGGATGTTATTAACATAACAGTAAAAAGGAGAGATTAGGAAGGAATAAGTAGAAAATGAAGTCATAAAAGAGGATTCTAGAAAGGAAATAGAGAAGAAACTCACATAGTATGTATCTGGATGCATCTTTAAAACCTCTGAAAGTCCACCAGCACTGAATGAAACTTTGGTAGCTTAAGTCCTCATAACAATTTAAAATTGAATTTCTATTGTGACGTGAATATCCAAAAACAAACCTTTTGTCCTAATGGTATATCTGAACACTTACTGTTAAATCAAAAGCAAGGCAAAAGTTGTGAAATTAAAGATGTAGAACTTTTAAGCCAGTGGAGAAACTTATTTTACAGATCTAGCAGTTGAAAATGCAATGTATTACTGTGAGATAGATCAGGTAAAGAGAAGGTAGTGGTCCAAAGCTACTACCACATCACATTGCACCCCAAGGGTATGGACACTGCTCTCCTGTAGCGAAGTTGATCACAAGTTCCTGCATCTGGTACCTTTTATGTGTGAAGATACGAAATTCAGAGATTTCAGGGAGGAACTTACATTCCCTTTCTGGATGAAGTTATAGCACCGTGATGGCGAACCTATGGCACACATGTCAGAGGTGGCACACAGAGCCCTCTCTGTGGACACTCGCGCCATCGCCAGCTGCTCTTCTGGTTTCTGGAGCACACTTGCATGCCGGCCAACTGATCTTCGTGTGTACCGGAAACCTGAAGACCAGCTGGCCAGAGCCCCGGAAACCCGAAGACCAACTGGTTTTCGGGTTTTTGGTGCTCCAGCACACATGAAGGCCAGCTGACACACCAGAAACCTGAAGACCAGCTTGCTGGTGGGCGCATGCGCACTGGCTAGCTGTTCTTCGAGATTCCAGGGCCTTTGGCATGTGTGAAGACCAGATGCCCAGTGCGTATGCATGCGCCAGAAACCAGAAGACCAGGTGGCTGGCACACCGGCCAGCTGGTCTTCTGGTTTCTAGGGTGCCGGGGCATATTCCAGTTTGGGCACTCAGTGCTGAAAAGGTTCGCCATCACTGTTAAAGAATATAAAAAATGCCTGAAATAAATAGATTATACCAAATATAATTGAATCAAATATATAAGCAAGCATAAAACTCTCATGGTAGACCTTCTTTCATTTTTGCAATGAGGAAATCATTAAAGGAAAGCTCTAGAAAATTACTTATAGGAATATAGGTAATAATTATTTTAGTAATTATTTACATTATAAGTATGCATCAAAGATGTCTTTGCTTTTAATTCTTTAGCAAATCAATTTATTATATTAATCTTCCTATCTGAACAATATTTTATCTTTCTACCATTTCATGGTGTATAAATTAACATAATAAAGACTGATGTAAAAAACTAGTGAAGCATAGCAAATCTCTTCAGTCAATGTTTCTAATTTTATTTTGATTGGTTAATGATCACAATAAGGAATAGTTTGAATAACTGAATTTTTCTTTGGAGTGATTCAGTGCTACTTTTTAAACTTCTTAATCAAAAATGGTAATAAATGTTGAAATATATCAAGCAACGTAGAACTTATAAAAGTGGAATCCAGTCTGTGAATTCAATTAGCTGCAGCAGTGTCATTGTGGCATATCATGTTGTCAGCTGCAGGCATCATGCCAATAAATGCTTGACTGTTGGAATTTATAGGCTTGTAAAAAAAAAAAAATCTGTCTCTTCTTGTTTTCAGCCAATTTCTGGAGTGCAACAAGAAGTGGCAAGGGAAGCAAAGGCTTTCCTATCCCTAGGAAAGATGGCAGAAGTCCAGATCAGCAAACGCAGACCTGGTAGTGAGAAATCCTGGTTGTGGTTTGCAACTGTGAAATCTTTGATTGGAAAAGGAGTAATGCTTGCTGTCAATCAAGGCAAAGTACAGACCAATGTGCTTAACATTGCAAATGAGGATTGTATCAAAGTGGCAGCTGTTCTGAATAGTGCATACTACTTGGAAAACCTGCACTTCACTGTTGAGGGAAAGGACACGCATTATTTCATTAAAACTACTTCACCTGAGAGTGACCTGGGCACGTTGAGATTGACGAGTGGCCGGAAAGCACTGGAGAATGGCATCAATGTCACAGTTTCCCAGTCCACCACGGTAGTGAATGGCAGGACTCGTAGGTTTGCTGATGTTGAAATGCAGTACGGTGCACTGGCTCTTCATGTCCGCTATGGCATGACCCTTGATGAGGAGAAGGCACGGATATTAGAACAGGCTAGGCAAAGGGCTCTCTCCAATGCCTGGGCCAGAGAACAGCAACGAGTAAGAGATGGAGAGGAAGGGGCCAGGCTATGGACAGAAGGGGAAAAGAGGCAACTTTTGAGTGCTGGAAAAGTTCAAGGATATGATGGGTACTATGTACTCTCTGTTGAGCAATACCCCGAATTAGCTGACAGTGCTAACAATATACAGTTTCTTAGGCAAAGTGAGATTGGAAAGAGGTAACACATTGGTTGAGCTTGGCCTGCCAAAGAGACGGACCCTGTGCCAGTGTCTTCTAAGAGGGGAGACCAAATAGTTTGCTGCATTATTACTTGAGCCTAAATATACATCTTTGCTCAGATTTTTCTGTAGCACAATCTGAATGGACTCTACAACAAAGAGAGAGCCTTCCAGAAGAATGATAATATTAAAAAGAAAAACTGGAGTTGTGTTTTTTTCTGAATGACCTTAAAGGTGATCTGCTTTAAAGAATATGTTTACATATGCATATCGCTGCACTCAAGTTGGACTGAAAGTACTAAAAAAGAAAGATCTAAAGAGTTTCCAACTGGCTGAGTATTCCAGTAACTAAGAAAGAAAGCGATAACAGTGTTTCCAAATATTACTAAATTGTTGACTTTTACTTACAAGAATTAGTCTTTTTTCCTCCTCCTCCTCCTCTTCCTTCTCCCCCTTCCTCCTCCTCCTCTTCTCTCCTGCTCACTCCCTTTCTCTGCCTAGGATGTGGTATATAATCTCTGTTCATGTTAAGCGGAGGACAAGACTCTTTGTGTATGGACACCCCAATGGCTTTAACAGTGCTGCTTTTTGAAAGGACACTGGCACAAGCAATTTATTCTACAATCAAAATTTGGTAATGGATTTTACGGTGATCATGGGGTTTACCTTGGGGAAAACGGCAAATAGAATTCTTGTCACAGAGAAGCAAAGGAAGCTTGATTTTTTTGTAAATTATGTGAGACAAGTTGTTTATGGATTTTTATATGAATTACAATTTACTGTACATCAAATATTAGTCTCAGAGGAGTTAATTTATGTAAAGTGTTTAAAAAAGTTTATACTTAAATAAAATAATAAAAATATGCAGTGTGTGAATTTTTTAAAAGAATTGCACCTTTTATTATGTTATAGCTGTACAGTATTAAGAGGTATAATGTAGAGATATAACAGTGTACAACAGTTGGATAGAAGTGTTAATATTTTTGTATTAACTTTAACATGGTGTGTTTTTCTCTTTGGATTACTTCTGAGAAAGGATGGAGAAATCACAGACTAGAAGGAAACGGAGTTGCCACTCTTTTTCCTCCCTCCCTCCCTCCCTCTCTCTCTCTCTCTCTCTCTTTGCTTGAGCCCTGGCAAGCATGGTTGCATCAGTCACTGCTAAAAGGAAGGAAGAACAATTCAGCAAGACTCATTTGTTACCATAAAAGACTTTTGTAGGCTGGACATGCCTTGTTCTCTTTCAGAGCTCAAGGTGTAATTATTCTTTTTACAGCTTTCTAATGTGTGGGGTTTTTTTAAAAAAAAAATGGGATGTGAAGTTGTGTTATGTCATAAGAGGAACATTTCCATACTTCTTTACACAGGAGTAAATTCCTTTGTGGGATTTATTTTTGATAAATAAATTTAGGGCTGGAAGCTCAGATATTTAGAGGTTCATGAAGGCAAGTTGATGCTGTTCTAAACATACAGAATTGGTTCTTACAATATGTTTAACTGAGTAAGCTGGAAGTTAATTATATAATGGAAATACTATATCTGGTCAACCATGTTGGAATTAATAAACATGGAGTAATTAGCTCTTTTGTCTTTTGAGGATTAAGCAACATCCTATAGAAGCCTCATAAAACAGGGTCTTTTAAGGTAGTTTCTATGGAAGTTTTCATAAATACATCCCTTAGACACAGGAGAGAATGAGAAACAAGCAAGTCCCATGCCGGCTGGTGAGAGAGCAATAACTGAGTTGCTTGTGTCTGGGAACTTGTGAGTCTTTTCGGTTTGTTTAGTTTTGGTTTGGTTCTCTGCATGTGTGAAAAAGACATACTCAATTCTCTTCTGGAAGAAAGAAAAAAATAGAATTCTATCTGGGGCGATGGAACAAAAAGAAAGTTACCCTATCAAGTAAAAAAAATTGAAAAAATCCAATAAATTGATAATTTTAGGATATCTAATCAGCATTTATGGGTATCGTAATGTTTAAGACTTGCCTATAAAGACACGTGTTAGGACTTGAGATGTGCTGATAGAAGAATTTAATGTAAAGCGTGCATAATTTTCTTAAACCAGGTTATAGTATCAGATCTCTCCTGTTGAATACCTGAAAACATCAACCAAAAGGAATATTTCTGAATGGTTTCTAAATATATCTCCATCATTGATAAAATCCAGGATGGAACATAATTTTCATGCCAAATGCCAGCCTCGCACATTGTTGGTCCAGCACTTTCTTATTAACAAATCAATCAAAATACCTGTCTCAAGAAGTTTAACATACTTAAAAATTCTGTATTGACTACCTTTTCACTTTTTTCTAGTTAGTTTGTTAGTGCAGAAGTTCGTGTAAAAACTTGAAATGCTTAGCTTCCATTTAAAAAAACCCTTCAGGCGCAAAAAAATATTGGCAGTTTCTGGTAACCCTCTTATGGAAAAACACATTAAAACAATATTTTTATCCCCAATCCTTTTTTATAAGTATAATAATACAACTTAACTTGCAATTGAGCTGAATGTTGCATGATTTGAAAATACATTTAAACTTTTTATCGGTATTAGTATTGCATAATTTATATGTGGGAAGGAAAAAGGAAAATCTCAAAGGCCTAATTTCTCTCTTACATCCTTCGTACTATTTTCAGCAGCATATATTCAAAAATATTATTTATTTGGGGAAAACTAGTCCATTTTCATTTTTCTGTGCTAAAAAATCAAGATAGAAATGCCAGTTAAATACATCTGAAACATGTAAAGAAATTACATAGATGATTTTTTTTAATTGTTTTCTAATTGCTTTCTGCACTGAGATTCTGTAATAGACTTGTGCTTTCAATTACACAGTGTGTATCTTGTCAAAGAATTATGGAATGATCAAGCAAGCCACAGTAGTATTACTTACCTGTGTCCTGTTGGACACAACCTATAGAATAACAATCTAGACATTTAGAACAAGTGTTATTTTATTACATTTAAAGTGTAAAAAAATACTTTATTGTTATTTTTCAGACACAAAGAATCCAAATTTAGAAATTAGAATTTAAAAAATGCTGATCAGTGCCATTATTTCCTATCTAAGTTTAAATCTCAGAACAGCCTGTCTATAGTTCTGTTGGGTAGAATTGCAGAGGATTTTTTTGAAAGCACTGGGTTTTCTGTTCTTTTGGGCTCATACTGGAAATACAGTAATATGCTGTTTAATAGAAATACTGCAACAGATCTGGTGTATGACAAGTTGGAATAGCACTAAGATTTCTGTTGATGTGTCCTTGTGCTTTCACAAATAACCGAAACTTTTATCTGTTAGCTCAAATTGAATGATGGCCAATTAACCTTCATAGGTTTTTAGTAGATCTTTTTCATACTGTAAAAAAATATCTGATATGTTCCTACATGACATAGTGACTGTGGGGAAAATGTAAACAAGTTTTTTTTTAAATTAAAATCTGTATTAAAGTAATTAGCCTTTGGAAATTCAGAGTATTTTAGGCAAAGCCAGTCAAAATGTTTTCATGCAATTTTGAAATGTATTTTTTGTCCAATTTGTATTGTTCTTTTCATTTGCCTTCCAAACTTTATATGTATCCTGAAGTTTTCCACAACTTGATGACTATAGATTGCATCTAGGCTTTCCAATAAAAGCCAAGCCAATGTGTCTGCGTTTAAATTTGTTTTCTTAACTATGTTTGTCAGACATTATAACTGCTATTACTTTTTGTTTCAACTTGTAGATGCAAAGTGATCTGGTTGTACTAGTATTGATTTATTTGTTCCACAATTGGGAATTGTTTCCCACACCTTCTGCCAGTGTCTCAAACTGCTAGTTCAGCAAGGCAAACCATGGCAGGAGTCTCCAGAGACCTACTTTACAGAAGCATTAACTAAGTTAAGCTTTGCAAATTTAAAAAAAAGACAATTGAAGCTGTGTCTCTCATGCTAAAAATAAAAAGATTCATTTAACTAACCGATCATGAGCAGGAACCTTTCACTGGGAAGTGTTATCTTCAAATCATTCAGTATGTTTTATGTATAATGGTAGCATATTTTGATGTGAATTGGAAGAGGTGCATTAAAATATGCCTCCTCGTATAGAAAGCTACAGTTTGATAACATGTCAAGCAAACACAAATCATGTTACTTGTCTGCTACACATAACCCTACACATATACACATAGTCCAACAACAGAAATTAGTTCATTTTAAATGGAAAAAGACTGTTAGTACGCTTACAGCTTTTTGCAAGTAATGAATGATTTATTAATCATTCCAATTTGTATATCATTTTAGGATATTCATTGTCTAATTATAATCCTTACAGGTAGGTCTATATCAGCTCATATTTTAGATGAGGGGACTGAATGATGGCAACTTATTTTATAGCCATCTAAAGAATTCACAAATGACATAATACATAGTTCAATTCTTCTTGATTTATATCATTTATTGTAGGTGTCTTAACTAATTCTATGCCAGCCTTTAGGAGATACATGAAAGAAAAACAAAGTTGATTTCTAAAAATGAAGTTATGTTTTAGAACAAAGTGTAGTCCCAAATGTTAATGGCAGAGACAGTAAAAGTTATCTATTAAAACGTACTTTATTATATATTTATAAATCTTAGCAAAATCCCCAAAAGTAACAATATTTCAGCAAAAAAAAGTTAACAATTGGTTTAATAAGATAGACTTCTTACCAAGCAATTTCTATGCCTTGGTACAACATATACCATTCCCAACTCAAAACAGTCATAAAACCCATTTCCAGGTTAGAGGCTCAAATAAAGACAAGGAATAACAGTTTGAATATATATTACAGTGATTCATGAACATGTTTAATGGTATCTATTGCACAGATATGATCATTAAAATCAAATGTCAAAATTGTCAGGGTCACTTGTAACTAACTACTTCAGGGTTTTTTATTTTTATTATTGGGGCATTTTGAGGGTCCAGGTTAATTCACAAAACTAGATAGAAGTAGCTTCTGTATAAAAAAAACCTGAGTTCACTGCTTTGGAAATCTAACCCAATCTATGTTGTCTCACTAGAATGCCCTGACATTATTTTCACACTTGGCATCAGGCAATAGAAGTGTGTTGATCAGCTTATCACCACTCCGATTTAGCTCGCATTCCATGTCAAAGTTCTATTAGATACTGCAGTTTCCATTGTCTTCTGAGAGGCCAAGCCTATCAAATGTGCATTTTAAAAGCATGTTTTTAACTAGCCATTTTTTAAAGCAGTCTAGAGAATAGCCAATCCTTGTCTGGCAAGCAGTACAGAATCCTTCCACATGTCTTCTGCATTCTGACACCACCAGCAACAGCCAAAAGCACAACACAGAGTGCTCTTTACAAAGACCTATTGCAACTATCTGCAGTTGATTGCTAAGAAAAGGGATCATTGTGTTTTGTCAATAAAAAAAAAAGTGTGTTTGGCATTAGGGCAACATGGTGATTTCAGAAGGCACATGCATGGGCATAAATGTCACACCTGTTGTATCTTCTTGAATCAAAATCATTTTCATTGGATCTCACTGTTCAAGCTGCATAAATCTATAAAAGAATGTGGGTTCTTTAAGGAATTGTAATTTGAGCCTGTCAGTAAACTCCAAAACACCTTTCCCCTTTTGTATTCTGATTGTTGCACGGCTCAATGGAAGGCATTCTTTAGCCCTAAAATGAATTGGCTATCCCAAATTAGACAATAGACCTGCTAAATTCTGTGCGAGGAGGCTTTCTGTCTGAGACAGCGCTCCAAGTAAGCATACTTTTCCACTTAGGGCTCAGTACAAAAATCATCACCAGCATTTATAAACAAGGCATTGGCTTCAGAAGGAAAATATAATTCAAAAAGAAGATCACAGTTACAACAAATAACTGTTTTGATGTTTTTTCCAAGTTCTTGCACACTGTTAAAAGTTCTTGCAATCTGTTAAAATTTGCTGACACTCTACAAACAAATGCAAAGGTCTGGATGACAAAAAGGAAACTTTCCTCAACTCTACTTTATAAGGCTCACAAAAATAATAAAGTTAGTTAAATTTTGACATTTAGCAGTGGCTGACATTTTTAACTTTAAAGGGGGGCTTTTATTCTCACTGACCAATCTTCTGAGTTTGAAATGTTTGGTAATTAACACTACAAATTGTGCAGGAGTTAGAACAACCAACTTCTAAATATTTACTTAGAACTAGATGCAGTATTTTTTGCATTTATCTATATGTTAGTCTTCAATATGTAAAAAGCATGTATTTCAGTGCAAAAAAAAACCCAAAACCAGAAAGATTGCATTTTTATAAAAACAACAAGAACACAGGTACAGCAATATTATGTTTTATTTTTAAAAAATCCAAAGACCAAACATTATCAGAAACCTGAGGTGCTATAAATTTAGCATTCAAAACTAAATTTAGGGTTGGCATGCTCCAAATTCATCCAATTAAGGAGTGTCATCAATCAGGACCCTGGAAGTACCTCTTCCCTATAGCAGAAGCTTCCCTATGAAAGAAGGTTCCACCTGAGATTCATACACTCCCATCCAGCTTGTATTTTGGACACTTTGAAAACCTGGATGATGAGAATAATCAAAAGCTCCATTTAGGCTGTTCAGATCTTGCTTTTTGCTTCTGTCTGATTTTTACTATCTTACCATCTTTCATTCTTGTTCCTTGTTGTATGTTTTATAGTTTTTGTTTAATATTTTTTACTTGTGAATTTCCCAGAGTCATTGGTTCTTTATGAACCCTAAGTAGCTTAACTGACATTTTTGGTGCAAAACATAAAGGAAGGAGTGTCTGAAGTATTAAGAGAGATGTGAATATGGAAACACAATTTAAGCATTTTAGACATAAACAAGGTGCATTCATATGTACCTCCCAGTATGTGCATGTCTCCTCTATAAACAACATTCCATTTCATATCAGTACAGTAGCAATACTTGCAGAATTATACTAACTACCCTGTTTCCCCCAAAATAAGACATCCCCTGATAATAAGCCCAATCGGGCTTTGAGCGCATGGCAATAAGGCCAAGCTCTTATTTCAGGATTCAAAAAAATATAAGACAGGGTCTTATTTTCGGGAAAACATGGTAGTTAGTTTCAGAGCACTAATTAAAAATATATCAATTACAGCAGAATATCTCTCTCTCACTCTCTCTCTCGCTTTCTCTCTCTCTCTCGCTCTCCAGTATCTATCATCTATCTGACAGAACAGAACAGAATAGCTTTATTTGACCAAGTGTGATTAGACACACAAGGAATTTGCCTTTGGTACAAAAGTGAGTGTACATGCAAAGCAACAGAGTAATAATAATCATAATAATACAAATAAGAGGGGATAGTAGAGAAGATGTGAAGGATAATAATAGTACTACAGCCATACAACATGAATAAATATCTTTAGACATAAGACAGTGCTGTAGGAATTAGGTGTTCAGAGAGTGATGGCATTAGGGGAAAACTGTCCCTGTATCTAGTAGTTTTGGCATACAATGCCCTATAGTGGTATCCTGAGAGAAGAAGTTGAAACAGTTTATGTCCAGGATGTGATGGTGGCTACCAAATGTCCAGCAGAATGACCACCAAGCTGTATTTATTGTTAGAAATCCAATGCTTTACTTTTTTTCACTTGAGCTATTAATTGAGGGTGAAACTATGGGCCATTTAGTTATTTACTGGCAGGATACATGCATCTTCTAGAAATGCTTTAAATAAGCCGTAGAAGAGCCCAATCTGTCTGAAGGACCATTAAATTAGTGCTATTTGTAGAGCTGAATCTTGATAAAGATTGTGATATAAAATGCCAGACTAGGCAAACTTTATATTTCAGAACCCAATATAACCAGATCCAGTTTTCTAATTCGTAGTTTGATTTCTTCTCTATTTGTATTTTTTATAGCCGCCCCCTTTTTTTAAAGAAAAAAAGTTGCATGTGAAGGTGTAAATTAGGATTTTCTGTGCTCTCAAACTAAGTTGGGATCAATTGTTAGACTGATATAAAGGAGAAAGTGATCTAAAATAATCAAAGAGAGAACCAACATAGAACTAAGGAGAAATTTCCTGACAGAATAATTAATAAATGGAACAACTTGCCTCCAGAAGTTGTGGTTGCTCCAGCACTGGAGGTTTTTATGAAGAGATTGGACAATCATTTGTCTGAAATGGTATAGGGCTTTCTCTTTGAGCAGAGGGTTAGACCAAAAGACCTTCAAGGTCCCTTCCCATTCTATTATTTTGTTATCCTGATTAGACTATAAATTAGGCAAGACTAATGATTTGCTGAAAAAAAATTTAGTTTCATGAGCATTATTACTTGTAGTTATAGACTCTCTCAAAGAATTAGCAGTTGGATCATTAAAAAATTAAATTGAGACTGTAGACAACTGAGCAAGACATAGGTCTATGTCAGTCACTAGTCACTACTTGGATGAATGTTAGCAATAGGGGTTAATTTTGTTTTATTAAATCGAGTGCTAACTTATCCACAAGCAGTCAGTGGTTACTCTCTAGGCCAGGGGTGTCAAACTCACATTGTCATGACAGCGTTACGTGACGTATCGGAACTTTTTTTCCCCTTCACTAACTTGGGCGTGGGCATGGGCAGCATGTGATGCATCTGGCCCGTGGGCCAGGAGTTTGACAACTCTGCTCTAGA